TCTCCTGCGTCATTTCCCATCTGCATCATGGGGCAACAATCCCCACTGGGCTCCCCTGAGGGTGCTGATCTTGGAGCACAGCCATCTCTGTAGTGCAAGGGTGTTCCTAGTGCTCTAACGTACCAAGGGGATATTTCTACAGCCCCTATGTGTGGCCAGGGGCTGGGCTGGCTTCCTTATGGCTTTGACAGCATGCTTCAGTGAAGAGGCGAGGAAGTGGGGGGCAGGCAGCCTCAAGTAATAGTCCAGCCTTGGCCAATCATCTCACTATCGCCATCTGCAGGTCACCCCTGACCTTCCCTGACTTCCATTACAGGACCGGACTCACAGTTCTTTCAGGTTCTAATTGTCCACCACCATAGCTATCTTGATCCATGAGCACAGCCAAAGCCAAACCCCACCTCCTTTCATCCTGTGCATTTCTTAATTTAGAAACAATTGGTACAAATCAACATCACTATTTTAAGGAACAATTCAGTGGTTTTTAGTATAGTCACAAGGTTGTGTAGCCATAGCAGCACCAAATTCCAGAGCTCATCATCATGGCAAATGACGATCCAGTGCCCATCAGCCGTCACTACCCACCCCCCGCCCCCCAGCGCCTGGCAACCGTGCACCTGCACTGTCTGTATGGATTTGGTTGTTGTGGACATATCATAGGGATGTTTTTAAAGCTCTTACGTGCTACCCTTTGTGTTTAGCTTCTTTCCTGTCATATTGTTCCCAGGCTGGTTTGTTTTTTTTTTTTTTTGGTCTTGTTTTTGAGGCAGGGTCTCAAGTAGCCCAGGCTGGCCTGGAACTGGCCACATAGCCAAGGATAATCTTGCATTGCTGAACCTTCTACTTCCACCTTCTAAACGCTGGGGTCACAGGCCTGGACCACCTTGCCTAGCTTATGGTTCTGTTTAAGTCTTCATCAGGGGATGGCCCTGTGTGGTCTCATCTCTTGGCAATGGTGACTAGTGTTGCCATGAGCACTGGTGGGCACACTTTGCCTGGACATCTCCTTTCATTCTCTTGGTGATGCATGAATCTGGAACTGCAGCCATATGGTAATCCATGACTGGTTTTAAAAAACGTTTATTACTTATTGCTAAGTGTATGGGTTTTTTGCTTACATATGTGTCTGTTGACTACAAGTGTACAGTAGCCATGGAGGCTAGAAGAAGGGGTCTGATCCCTTGAGACTTAACAGTTATGAGCTGCCATATGGGTGCTAGGAATTGAACCCAGGCCCTCTGCAAGAGGGGCCAGTGCTTTAACCGCTGAGCCATCTCCCCAGCTGCTCTAAGATTAGCTTTCTGAGGAACTGCCAGGCTTGTTTGTCTTTCTATCATGAACCCTGAATCTTCAGAACCACTAGCCTCTGGTTTTAATACTCCAAAGCCATTGCTCTGATTCAGTATAAAACCTCCAACCCACACATGGCCCAAGGTGGTTTCAACAGGCGCTCACTGAACTTCCCAAATGTACTGACTCTTGTGTGCCTCAGCTACTGGCTGGCCTACTTTCTGCTCCTCAAACATGCCATGTTTCCCTGCCCCAGGGCTTTTGCCCACGACACCAGCATTACAATATTTGTCATTGTGTCTTAGACACCTTTCTCAAACCTCTGCCTGGGTGAGTTCTCACCTGTCATGCAGGCTCCGCCCACTGTCTCCTCCTTAGAGAGGTCTCCTGATCTAATGTTTGGTTTTCCTATAGCATACATGGGGATCTGAGATCATTCTGTGGGTTTCTGAACTGTTGCTCAGATTTGCTAGACTTTGGCACTGCTTACCAAGTGGCAGAATCTGGCTAAGCAAGCACATGAGTAGGAGGGGTGAGGTGGTCCCCGCAGGCCAGATCACTTTACACTCACCGGGAAAGCCAGCTGGCAAATGGGGCCAATCCATGATTGGCGGTGCTGTGCAGCCAGCAGGTGGCTTCGCTCAGTGGTAGTAATCAGGAAGGCACCGGTGTCCCTGGGACAATTCTCTCCATCGGCCGGCAGAACAGACACACAGTCAGCCAAACGTATGACCCGACGTTCGCCTCGACGGCCAGGCCCTACAGATCTGTCGCCTGCTGGCCCCAGGCCACAATCACGAACATCCCAGCTTTCCAGCCGAGCTACACCTGATGGGCCTCCTGCATACAGTAGAGCCCACACTTTCCGCCAGTATTTCTGTAAAGAGAGACACCGTTGGGAAGAAGGCTTCCCTTCTACTTGGTTGTGTACAAGCTGCTGAGCAACTGGCCGCCTTGCTTCTGCCTCCGTAAGACTTTAGGGTACAAAGGAAGGAGGTCTTGCTCCGGCAAAGGTAAGCAGGAAGAAGTCTGTATTTAGGGTTGGTCAAGCTCGAGTTCAAATCCCACCCTCCCTGCCCTTTTCTGAATGACTTTCATAGCTCGCCTATCAAGGTCATGAGAATATAAGCCTGGACTTCTCCTGGACTGTCTGTAAAGTATCTAGTGGTTGGGGCGGGTCAGCTGACACCGCCGTTAAGCTATCTATTGCCAGCCCCAACCGAAAAGGGCACTTAGGCCATGGGCTGGGTGTGGTGGGAAGGAGGCCTCAGCTTCGGGCTGCTAAGGAAGGAAACATGCAAATGATACCTAGCAAAGAAAACAGTTTTTCTACCCAGGGAGCAGTTGCAGCTGAACTGTCGGTGTAGAGTCTGATGCTCAAGGAGCACAATGAATCTCCAACCCCTCTCCTCCCCAGTATCTGGAGACCCCGTCTTGGTCTGCAGGGTGCTGCTCCATCCTTGGGAGACTCCTGCCCCTCAGACCTTGACCTTCTCCAGGAGCTCTGGAGCTATCATACACATAGGTTTCTGTTCTTAGGACCATGGTCTTGGCATCTCTGAGGCCATCTTAGAAAGGAAGCTCCAGCCCTAATCTCAGGCCAAGAACCTCCACTCCCAAATTCCCAGGTTTCAGCCCACCCAGATTCCCTTCCCAGTTCTCGCATGTCTAGACAGGCTGTCTAGGTAGGCAGAAGTTTCTTCCTCTGCCCACGGCTGTCAGGCAGCCTGGGGCTCCCACCTTGCCAAACTTCATGTGCTGCTGGTAAAGGACGCCATCCTTGACAGGGGTCTCCACAGACTCCATGGCCACGGCTGCTCTGAAGACCCGAGGAGATTGGTGACTGGCTGGACGGGAACCCTCTTACTTCCCCTTCTGGCCACTTCCCCCTCACTCTGTCCAGTGACAGCTGCAGGGACAGGGGGAGGGGAGCCTGGTCTTCACTGAAGGGGTAGCTGTCAGAACCAATCTCTCCCTTGGGGTTCTCGTGTTCTGAGACCACACCTGCCTACGGGAGCATGAGGCCACTGGGGGCTATGGCCTCTTGCGCATGCACCTGCATCAGCTGGCCGTGAGTGTCTGACCACAGGATGGATGCCCTGAGTCACAAGTTCTGAGCCCTCCCCCATCCCCAGGAAGCTGTGCACCCCGAGTATGGGAACTACACAGCCCTGGCCCATCCTTGGACCCCCCTCTCTCCAGACTGCTGAACTCCTGTCTGCCATTCCGAGGTCTACAAGCCTCTCTAGCAGTATTGGCGTGATCCAGGACCTTGGGTACACTAAGGCCATTGCTCTATCACCGAGTGACATTCCCTGCCCAATCATAAACATTTCTGAAATTCAGTTTCTCCTCTTCATCCTCACCCGACCTTGGCCCACCTTGGCTGCGTCCACCAACCCTCCGATTCCCTTTCAGCCTAGTCTGGGCCACTCCATCCCATGTTCTTGCCTTTACTTCCTGAGTTGTATTTTTTCACACCAGTCCCTTCTGTGCGCCCCTTACCACTGCTCTTCCTGCCAGAGGTGGCTGCTTCTTCCCAGAGGCCTTCCCTGACCACTTTCTAAGGTTGGAGAGCGAAGCACCCCCACAGCGCACCAGGCAGCAGTCCACAAGGCTCTACATCCAGGGTCACTGCTTGTCATGTTGACTGTGGGTGGCAGGCCCCCAGTGTGCTCCCCAGGGAGGTCACATGTTCCTCAAAGCTTTGCTTCCTGCCCAGTCTTTCCCCCACACCTCCCCACTTGCCTTGCTGGAGCCCTCTGTTGGGGCTGTGCATGAATATGAATTATGGAAGTGTCTTGTCACTCATGCAATGTCACCTTGGGAAAGGACGCTGTGACCAGACTGAGAAATGCTCTTTCGGGATCACACAGCAGACATGGAAATACATTCAAGGAGCCGTGGGCTCCTGGCTCCTTGCCCACAATGATCTGGGTGGCTAAGCTCACACGGCCTGTCTTAGCCTTTGCATTCTCATCGACATTTCAACAATGAGGAAATTAAGGCTCAGATAGGTTAAGTAACTTGCCAGAGGCCACACACTAAGTGACAAACATGGGTTGAGCAACTGCCATCTTTGCTGAATCGGCATAATGTTCCTGGCGCAGAGGAACTGAGGTACCTGGCTACTGCTGTGCCGTTTCTTTGCCCCCTCTTGCGGCAAGTCTAAAGTCGGGGTTGGTAGGCTAGTCTTGCAACAGGCATCTGCATGTCTGAGGCTTACCGGAGGCTCCCCAGTTATGGCAGCACCTACCTGGTTCATTTCTGTCCTTATAGCCCAGTAAAGAATGGGGCAGAACAGAGGCAGGGGGTGTCTGTGACCAGAACGGCAGTTCTGTGGCATCTACCACTTCCTCTGCAGATGGAACAGAGGATTTCTGGCTGGGAGCCTGCACGGCAGGGAGGGGTAGCCAGAGGCTTCAGAGGCTCTGGAGCCATCACAGGAGACACAGTAGCAGTGTCAGATGGCAGAGAGACCAAGGACACCACCATTTCCCCATGAGCCCCAGCTGTGGTTCCTCTGAGTTTTTGGGCATTCCTGGCCAATTATCATGAGCCCCCAGACCGGGACAGCAGCCAGGCAGTCATTTCTATGAGTCTGGCAACTCTGGAAAATGTTGATGTCTTGTCTCAGGATGGTACTGGAGCAGAGGGTGAGGCTTGTCCAGGAATGGGGGGCAATGGGTGAGAAAGAGGAAGCACTGGTCTGAGATAGAAGGGATTGTGCTTTAATGGCAGTCGGGAAAGGAGAACAAAAATAGTAATTCTGGGGGCACTGGGGTGGCCCAGGCCAGCTGGGCCAAGGGAGCTGGTGTATGCCTGGCTGGAGTCCTGGGACTGATGCCTCTTGGGGAGAGGAGGGAAGAGACAGCTCAGAAGTCCATAGAACTGTGGGCCAGGTAGTCCTTGCGGCCAATATTGCTGACCTGCTTGGTCTGCATAGCTTCAAGCTTGGGGCAGTCAGTGATCCGATGGCCAAGGCCTCCACAGAAGGCACAGCCCCGTTCTCCTGGGAATGGAGAGAAGGGTTAGCAAGGTCACAGGATCTTGATCTTGACCCCAGACTGACCCTACCGGCCTGGACTGGTTTCCTGGTTCCCAGCCCCAGGCTACCCAGCCGCACACTGGAGAGGGGCTCCTCACTTACCTCCAATGTCCAACATGGACTCATCCCCACAGTGCAGCACTTGTAAGACAGGCGGCACCTTCTGCTTGGCCTCCAGCAACAAGGCTTTGAGGTCCATGAGCACTGACTCGTCTAAGGAAAAGGGATAACAGGCACCATCAGGTTCCAAACTGGAACTAGAACCCAGATAGCTACATATGGAGGACCCAAAGTAGAACCACAGTAGCTGTGCAGATAGACTCACCACAGGCCTTGTTGATGAAGGTGGTAGCAATGCCTGTGTTTCCTGAACGCCCGGTGCGGCCAATCCGGTGTACTGCAATGAAAGGAACAGCCTCGAGCCCACTATCTGGACGCCTGGCCCTCATCCTGGTCAGCCCACCAATATCCTGGGCTCCTACCATAGTTCTCGATTTCTTCAGGCATGTCATAATTGATGACGTGCTGGATGGCAGGAAAGTCGAGGCCTTTGGAGGCCACATCTGTGGCCACTAAGACATCCTTCTTGCCTTCCCGGAATGCCTCAATGGCCTTGGTCCGCTCTTCCTGGTCTAGGGTGGGTGAGCTATGTGTCAGAACTATAGTAGCAATGTTGGGAGTAGCAAAGGCTGGCTAGGCAGGGGCAGGGAATGGGAAGGCACAGAGCCGTCATGACAGCAGGTCTATGCCAGTGAAGTAACCATCCTGACCTTTGCCCCCATGAATGGCCACCGCTTCAACCCCCTTGAGCAGGAGGTATTCGTGAATGGCATCCACATCCGCTTTCTTCTCTGCAAAAATGAGCACCTGCCCAAAAAGGCCAGCTCTAGTCAGAGGGTATCACCCTGAGTCCCCCAGCATAGATCCTGCCCAGAAAGGCCAGCTCTAGTCAGAGGGCATCACCCCGAATCCCCCAGCATAGATCCTGCCCAGAAAGGCCAGCTCTAGTCAGAGGGCATCACCCCGAGTCCCCCAGCATAGATCCCTACCATCATCTCTCATCCTGGGAACTCTGGGAACCAGGGACCAGCCTAGTCCAGCTGTACTCACAGGTGGGGGTGTCTTCTGCAAACACTCGAGCAGGTATACCATCTTGGCTTCCTCCTTCACGTATTCCACCTCCTGCCACCATAGGGGGCCAGGTCAGATGATCCCAAGGTTAGGCTCACCAGTCATGGCCCTGACACTGCAGCTGGTCCCCAGTCTAGTCCAGGTGACCAGAAGCCTCTTGCCATTGAAGGGCTGGGCAGCCTAAGAATGGCCTTGGCTAAAGGTCAGAAGGTGGACTCTTCAGTTAACATCAGGGGAGAGTGGCTAGCTTCAGTCTGTACTGTTAAGACTCTGCTCCTTGGGAGTGCCTGCCTACCTGGATGACATCCAAGCTGGCTGCTCCAGCACGTCCCACATTGATGGTGACAGGCTTTACCAGGGCACTCTTGGCAAAGTTCTGAATCTTCTTTGGCATGGTGGCACTAAAGAGCAGGGTCTGCCGCTGGCCCTGAGGGAGTGTGGGGACAGGGACTAAGGCAGTGGTTCTCAACCTGTGGGACATGACCCTTTTGGGGGTTTGTATCAGACATCCTACATATCAGATATTTACAAGTCATTACAGTAGCAAAATTACAGCTATGAATAACAACAAAAATAATTTTATTGGGGGCTGAGGTTCAATTCCCAACACCCACATGACAGCTCACAACCATCTGTAACTACAGTTCCAGGGGATCTAACACCCTCACACAGATATGAATGAAGACAAAACACCAATGCACATAAAATAAAATTAAATAAAATCTTTAAAAAAATAATTTAATGGTTGGGCATCACTGTGACATGAGGAACTGTATTAAGGGGCTGCAGCGTTAGGAAGGTCGAGAACCACTGAGCTAAGGGCATGCAGGGGTAGATGGAGGGCACACAGGGGATGGGGTCTGAGGATGCTGGACAGCTGAAACATAGACCCCAAAAAGCAGAGACCCTCTGCAGGTCAAGTATGCACATGTCTCTGCAGGAGTGCCTGGGTGAGGCAGGGGTCAGGTACCTTGAAGTATGAGAAGATGGTACGGATGTCACCCTCAAAGCCCATGTCGATCATGCGGTCAGCCTCATCCAGGGCCAGGTAGCGACAGATGTCCAGGCTGACCATTTTCTTCTGGAGCAAATCCATGAGGCGTCCAGGCGTGGCTACCATCATGTGGACACCACTGAAAATGGAGAAACCCTGCAGTTCGGGCTGCCTGGCTCTCCGAGACATCACCTGCTAAGAGGCCCACTTTGCCTTCTGCTGATGCTGTTTCTTTCCCTGCCTCTCAGCACATCCCCCGTGCTAGCCTATGCACAGTGCTGTTT